CCGATTAAGACTGTATAGAAGGCGTTGCGGCTGAGGATTTGAATGGGAGTGAAGGTTTCGTGTTGTTCTGTTTTTTTTTTTCTTTTTTTGCTTTTTTGTTTGGGGGGGTTAGGATCAAGGGCTATTAGGCCTTCGGTTTCGGATTCAGGCAGTTGGGAGTTTTACGGAGTGTAAAGCTGTACGGTTTAGATTTTCTTCGGGGTTAGCAGCTAAGTTCAGCAACCCTGTGGGCGAAGAAAATAGGAAGAAGGAGCCACGAAACCCTCAGTAAACCCTTATAAACCCTAAACTTGGTTCGAGGTTTCAGGCAGGGTTGTGGCTATCGCCTCAGGATTTCAACGCTTGAGGTCTTGGGGTTTAGGGTTTGTAGGGTTCAGAAACTCCGGATCGAGCAGTCTCTACAGTCGAGCTCGCCGGTTCGACTTCGAAAAATACCTACCCACCCAGAGAATCCGAAACATTTAGAAATAAAGAGCTTTATCACTGCATACAGCTCAGTCCTACTACACAACAATCGAAGAATCCGTGGCATAATCGCTCATAGCCAGATTCCCAAAAAATCCGGGCGGCGAGTTTCATGACTTTTGCATCTCCGGGCTCGAGATCTCTCTGCTGTAGAAGGTTCGAGCTTTTCTTCGAGGCATCAGACTACGACTTTAGAGATGCCGAAGCCCTAAGGCCGAAACCCTGAAACCGAAGCCCGAAGGCCGAAGCCCTAATCCTGCTAGACTGTTAGCAGTGGTTTTCAGAGCCAGAGATCATCATCACAGGGTTTCGGCCGAAACCCTGTGATCATGATCTGGGAACTATGTTTCGAGCCACACGTCTAAGGGTCGAGCTCCTATTTGAGGCTTGATCCTCCTAAAGCTTTGGTCATGATGTGAAAGAATCGAGAGATCATAAGCACAGGGTTTCGGCCGATTCGGCCGGGCCTTGTGCACGAACTTTGGGGCCTTGTGCGCGAATTTGTTGGGCCTTGTCCGCGAACCTGTTGGGCCTTGTCTGCGACTTTTTGGGCCTTTGTCCGCGAATTTTTGGGCCTTGTCACGATTTGTTGGCCTTGTCCGCGACTTTTGGGGCCTTGTCCGCGAATTTTTGGGCCTTGTCACGATGTGTTGGGCATTGTCCGCGAATTTCTGAGGCCCTGTCCACGATTTTTTTGGGTCGTGTCCGCGAATGCGCGTGCCTTCTCCGCGAATAGCTTCGGAAGGCCCAAAAATTCGCGGACAAGGCCCAAAATTTGGCCGCGGGCCTTGTCCGCGAATTTCAGTAAGTTTATAAATCACTCTATGATTGCAAGGTTTAGGGTTTTTATGGCGACCCAAAGTATGACCCTACATCGAAGATAGTCGCACCACCTGACCTTTGAAGAATTGTCTGGCTCACACTGTTAACGCGGCTGAGACACTCTCTCCAACAAGAGTTTCTGACTTCGGGAAAGACGAAGGCGCCGCTCCCAGTGACGCTCATGACAATAACAACCTCGTCATGCTCCGTCAGGGGTAGGGGTGCTTAGCATCTACATGGCAGATTGTGAGTGTATACGGTCCATGGGTGTAGTGTCATACATGGGGGTTTAGTATCTGCATGGTTATGGTGCAGGGCCTTGGCTTAGGGTTTACATACAGTCCCCCCCACCCCCCTGCATCCTAAATCCTCAACCTTAAACCCTAAACCCTTAACCTTAAACCCAAAGCCCCTTGCCCCAAAACCCTAAACCCCAAATCCTGAAACTTAAACCCTAAACCCTGAACCTTAAACCCTAAGCCCCTAAAGCCTCTTTTCGGGTTTATAGGGCTTCTTCCCCTCCTACCTAGCAAGGACGAGCCCGCATTGCAGGAAGACTCCGACGAACTTTGGACAAGTTCGTAGGTTTCAGCACTGACACTCGGACTTGCCTGGTACGACGAAGTTCGTAGGTTTAGGGCTTAAGGCTTATAGGGTCTAGGTCTGGGTTTAAGTTAAGGGTTGAGGGTTTAGGGAAAACCTGGACAACGTCTTGGGGTATGTTCTGTAGTACTAAGGAACGCAAAGAACAGTGCCAAGTTACGAAACCCTCAACCCTTTGCCTAGGGCCACGAAAAGCAGATCCACTTTTGGATGTCCCAATTACTCTCAGTTTGGTGGGTTTCTTCGGCCTACACCCGAATTAAATTCTCCCCCACGGACCGTCAGCAACCTGCTATAACTTAGGGGCCGTAACCATCAGAATGGAGTTTCGGGTACAAGGTACAATGATAGTTACCCATAGGCCCCTAAGTAGTTCCGTTTTATGGTTTATATTTTAGAATCTTATAAGGTAATCCCAAAAAGGAACTACTTAGGGGCCTATGGGGTAGACATGACTTGTGTTTTAATGCGGGGCCTCAGGAACTGTCTTGCCAAGTACTCAAGGCCCCTGGCATTAACCGCTTTCCGGGGAGCAGAAGAAGCCTCGCTGACATGGTGCTCCCCGCATAACGTGGACACACGGCTTTTCGCACAACCTTTGGGTTTCCGGACTTCGAGGCTAGATATTAGTTGCCTCCCACCATTTAGAGTTGTTTTTTGGGCGCCTGGGTTTTAGGGTTAATGTGCATTCCAACCGCACTCGCCGTGATGGCAATCACGGAAGCAAGTCGCATTTATCTGAACCTTAAACTTAAACCCTAAACCCTGAACCGTAAACCCTAAACATCCCTAAACCCTAAAACTTAAACCCTAGGCCCGAACCGTAAGCTTGAGGCTCTGGGCATGAGGTTTGTAAGTGCATCTTGGTACAGTTTAGTAGCCTTAACACCTACTCTTCTAAGCTGCAGACAGTGCTGATGTAGAGCCACCCCGGACAGCCCCGGACTTGAAAACATGATCGGAAGTTAACGGCAAGTTAGCATGGAGCCGGAAGCCCCTGAACCACAGGAGATGCCCTTCCAGAGTTTGAAGCCAGGCTATTGGGCGAGTTCAACGGCGTGTGCTGAAGGCTCCTGCAAAGGTTCTTAAAACAGATCCGTGGAAACTGGCCACGGCAGGCCCGCAAGTTACACACTCCTAAACCCCGAAGCCCACACCCCAGACAACCCTAAACAGTGAAACCCCCGAGGAGCTGAAAGGGAACATGGACACAACTAGTGTATACTACGGCCTCAAAGTAACCCCTCTCTATATATGTATGTGTATATATATATATATAAATTATATATACATTTATTTATTTATAAAGGTACCTTGGGGCCAAAGTATATACTGTTTGGGTACAGGGACCCTGAAAATACCCCAGAATCCTCCAGTAACCCGGCATTTGCGCGCCAGGAGCGCCCGGAGCGACCCGACCCCCTGACAACACTGGACCCTTCGAGCTGGGAGGTCCCCCATATGACTAGGAGTTAGGATTTAGGGTCTAGGATTTAGGAGGTTTAGGGTTTAATTAGGGTTCTTTAGAGCTTATTAGGAGTTAGGATTTAGGGTAGGGTATAGGGTTTATTAGGAGTTAGGATTAGGGGACTCTTGGGGATATAGACCCTCTCATTAAGGTCTCTTTTAAGAGAGAGCCCAAAGTAGGCTTAAGAAGGGGACCCCTTCAAGGGCTCACCCTAATCCTACCTAGGAAAAATCTCCATTGTAGTTCCTGTCTGGGGTTGCCTGATAAGATCCTAAGTGCAAATTCAGCTAAATCATGGCAGGGAACTACGATGGAGACTCTAGCGACTATAGGTAGATCCACATGGTCCCTACAGCCTTAAGCCCCCAAAACAAAGCTCTGAAAACCTTGGTTGAACCCCTTTTTAATGAACCCAGGCTCTGATCCTCAGCTGGGAAGCCTAAACCTTAAACCCCCCCAAAAAAACCCTAAGGCTTCATGTGCCCATATAGTAGAGAGCTACAGGCCTTAAAAAGAGGTTCCGAAATAGGTACTTTAAAGACCGAGTGTATACTATATAATGGAAAATTCTAGGACATCAAGCAAAGCAACCCTAAACCCTACAGTTTTCTGACCGAGGTACTTTAAGGTCTGAGCATATACTTTACGATATATTGGAAAATTCTAGGGCAATCAAGCAAAGCAACCCTCAACCCTACACTTTGAAAGCAGGTGCCCTCTTTTCTGAGCCGAGTGTCTCCGGGTGGCCGAAGCTGCCAACGCTAGGTCTGAGAGCCCAGAGGTCTTCCGCAGGACCATGCTGCATAGGTCATCAAGATCTTCGAGTTCTAACCCGACAATGCCGTCGGGCTTGAGCCGAGCGCAAGTGGGGATTCAAGGTTTAGGAGTTTAGAGGTTTAGGGGCTAAGGGTTTAGGGTTCAGGGCAAGGCGCAAGGTCGGGTCGAAGGGTAGAAGGCCCATCCCCCATAGAAAGAAACTTAGAAAACCCCCTGCATGAGTTTCGGGGTCGGGGAAGAGGTAGGCTTCCAGGTGTAAGGAGCAACCCTAAACCCTATAAGCCCTAAATGCTAATCCCATGCTAGGTGTAGGCGCCGAGTATAGGGCAATAGGGCTATTGAGAATGTCTAGAGTTCATGAGCTACCAGCAATGATGTCTAGATGTACTACGAATGGCAGAGATCGCGATATTCATCTTAGAAGAGCTGGAACTATCATAGTAGGTAAACTACAAAATCAACTAGGTTTTAGTCTAGAGGCCAGGTATGTGCGGGCCAGCACAGCACTACTGTACTGACTAGACCCTGGCCGAGGTACGAAGCAAGAGCACGCTATTCGCCATACGGTGGGTACCCCAGAGACACAGGGAGTGGCAAGAAAGCAGTTCCAGTGTTGAACTAAGATTATTCGAAGGTTGGGGTTCAATCGGGATTTCAGCTCCAGAGCATCCTTTTTTCAAACCCCTGTAGATCCTGATTAGGGAGCTAACTTTGGGTCGTGAGGGGCCCTAAAGGATAAGTCTGCTGGGGCTCAGCTTCAGACTGCATTATTCAAGCTCTGCTCCCACAAACCTACACCCTACCAGCTTGCATCTGAATGAAACCAATTCAGCCCTAGCAAGCCCTCAAATCACAGCCATGTCGCAAAGGACGAAGGCCACAGGATCGCTTCCGGCACGTATTCGGCAGTCACCTTTGACCTTGAGGCTGAAAACTTAAGTATGACGGTTTAGGGTTTAGGGTTTTGGGTTTAGGGTTTAGGGAAATTCAAGTAACTGATTAGGGCTTAGGGTTTCGGCGCTCACACTCGGACACTCCAGGCGAGGCATGTGGTTCGAGGTTTGACTGAAGTTAAACGAACAGATATCGTGGGTATCCCAACACACTCACATCCCATAAGACTTAAGATCAGTGTCTGGGGTTAGCATTGCTTCTGGTTTCAGGGATATATGTCTCAGCTCAACATGAGATCTTAGTTTCGCCAGAGATACTGAGTTTCTGCATGGGCCCGCTTGGTAATGCCGTAGGTCAGACCAGAAGCCTAAGCCCCACACGTCAACACTATAGGCCCAAAACCACAAAATCCTAAACCCCACAAACCCTAAACCCTTGATTGAGACACAGCTGGCTCATGGAGGAGAGATGACGGGCTTCAGGACTCCAAGCCCCAAAAGCCCCTTGAAACCCTGAACTGCAAATGAGTCCTCTATCTATATCTGTACCTATATGCCTATAGATAGACAGATAGATGGACAGATAGATCCATAGATCGATCGGATATCATTGCTGAAGCTCCGATGTCCGGCTTCGGGCGTTGATTCCGGTTTGAGTCCCAAAGCTTCAGAGATATAGGTGCGTGGTTTAGGTCCGTTGGTTTAGGGTTTGTTCATAGTGTTTCGCGCTTGTGGTTTGTTTATAGGGCTTACGCTCTCTTCAGAACATGGAACTGCCACCACTGGATGAATCCAAGAAATGTGTGACAATCAGGGCCTGCGTGTGACAGTGTATGACGGTAGGTATGGCGGTACGGGCTTTGTATAGGCTAGCTCTTTCAGTTTGGTGTTCCTGTTGAAATCTCAGAGCATCAGATCTGATGTAGTCTTTGGCACCCAACACGGGACCCTGACCTACGTAGAAAGAAACCAATGTGGATGTATGGACATGGGGCCGACAACATTTCGACACTGAACCATTTTGATTCCTGAACGACGATGGAGCACACGAAGATTATATGACGACCACTGCGACCATCAGGACGACCAGGATCCCCCATGACGACAACTGCGACAAGAACGACCACCACCACCTGGAGAGCACAAGGCGACTGCCAGGAGGCCACAAGGACACCATGGCGAAAACGAGCACTGACGAGACTCATAGATACAATGCTTCGCCCATTTTTGCTGGCATTCAGTACCCGCACAAGGGGCCAAAATGCTTCGACCATGTAGTGGTGTTTCATGTGCGCGAGCGGCTATGCCAAAACTCACCAATACACCCATCGTGTGTGTGTGTGTCTATGTACCACACTTTTCGGGGAATAATTCCAACCCCAACCCCCCTCCCAGCAAAATGAAGCTCCACTATGCTTGATATGCCCATGAAGGCCATACATGATCATATTATACTATCTATATCTATATATATATATATATATATAGAAACCATAAGCCCTAGACCCAACGCCAAAATCGCCTGCACTCCAACGAGTCAAAACACTAGCTCAACAACCTGGCCAAAGCAACCAGGTTCGGCATCGCTGCCCCGCGCTGCGCGCGAAGGGCCGCGGCGGAGAGGTCCTGGTTAGTATATTACCATGATACATATATATATATATGTACATACATATACACACACTATACACACATGTATATATATATATGTATATATACACACAACAACAACGTATCATATCCTATTGTATTATAGAAATATTTTGGGGTCGGGGGCTTCTATGTGTTGTTTCGGCTCCGGGCCTTGTTTTTAGGGCTTGGAGTTTGGGGTTACGCTCCATTGTAGTTAGTTCCTTCGGGGGATTACCTTCTAGAACATAAAGCACAAACAGGAACTAGAATGGAGTCTATAGGTAGGGCTATAGGGTTCTAGCAATTGCAGATTAGGTTTTGAGGTACAGGGGAACTTGTGACTCTAGGCAACGGCTTTGGGGTGTAGGGTTTCAAAGTTTTAAGTTTGAGGTTTGAGCGGAAAATCCTGGTGCTTGCAGCTGCTAAGCTGCCTTTCCAACTACACAAACCTATTTACTCTGTCCCAAACTTGTACGAACATCCTAAACAAACCCTAATTAAACCCTAAACCTTACAATCCATGAAGCAAGTCTACGGTAAACACCGAAAGCCACGAAGAAGCTCAGGAGCCAAGTCGTGGCGATGCCGGCAGTGAGCACCATACTTGCCTGGGCCGAATGTTCCAACAGGGTCCTATGTAGCTGTATGGTAGAATGCCGGGATTCTAAATTAGGAATTACCTGTGTGGTAGAATGTAGAGTCTCTATATTAGGAGTTCCCCGTTGTAGGGTTTCTATATTCGGCACTGCAAATGTGGTAAAATGTAGGGTTTTCTAATTTTCTATCATAGGAAGTACTATGGTCGTGATTCGGGAATGTGTCCCGCGTAACATTGCATAGGACCCTTTGGGTGTTGATGTGGCTTGAGGCCCCTGGGGTTGCCGGTGTGCTGTTAGTGTTGCCTTGGCAAATTGGGGCTTTGGGTTTAGAGCCTTTAGGGTTAGGATTCAGGCTTTGGGTTAAAGAGCAGGGCAGCTCAGGATGCATTTTAGGATTTCGTGTTTTGCGGTTTTGGTTTCAGGGTGGGTTGGGTTTCACGGTTCAGGGTTTAGGGTCGTCTTTACGGAATGGGAGGGAGGGTAAAGATTAGTTTTTTCCATATGCTCTACTCCGCATTCATTGCAATACCAACGGAGAGTTCACAACATCGAAAGCCAGGAGGATTTGCACCCTTGCGCATATTATATAAGCGCACATCTAGAAGCCGAAAACATACGAGACCGCTACACCAACAACCCTCGGGGCTTGGGGGTTTTAGGGCCGTAGCCGACTGTCATCTGCAAAAGCAAGACTAAGAAGGTTGCTTGGAGAAAGTTGTCAACAAAAAAGTTCCATCGAACCCCAGCCCCCACATCATCTTGCAGGAAGCTGCAAAGCCCGCGCCGGACGAAGACGCGACAAAGGCTGACCTGCTGACGGGCACAAAGGCGCGCAGCCCAAAATCCAACAACAACAACAACAACAACAACGACGACAATTTTAGGGCTTCGGATGGCCTAAGGCTTAAGGGGTTTGGGGCTTCTAGGGCCTAGGGTTTCCGGATGCCAGTGCTCAAAACGGCCGTAAATCGACAGGGCTTTCGGAAGCAGCAGGACAAAACTGGGTCAACAAAGCCAGTGCAGCCTGCCAGACACGGATTCGGTGGGGAGTCGGCTGAAGTATCTTGGCGAATGTAGTTGCATTAATAATTAGAACAAGCTGTTGCGGTATATTATATTATACTATGATGATAATAAGGAGCCCCCCAAAATAGTATAGGCAACTATTATAAAGCCTGCATATTGGGCTCTTTTCAGGTCTGGGGCTGTCCGAAGGCGCAGGGTGCTTAATTAGGGCTTTTAGGGTTTAGGGTTTTACGGCTTGGGGGCTTTTCGTTGTTGGTTTCTGGGGAATGGTGCAAAACATGGCTTCCAGCATCACATTCAGAAAAATCGGCTGAGGCGTTTCATTGGGCTACGTTTGTGCTCTGGATTGCTGATTTATGTGACAGTTAGGGTCTCAGAATCAGGCAAGCTTGTATTCCTGTGCAGCTAGGCTTAGGGTGCGTATCCTGTCTTAGACTCTCAGACTCCGACTCTGTAGCCTGAACACCCGAGTAATGCACACTGAAATGTGCAGGGACAAGGATGTGTAGAAGGTTGACACTTTCACTGCGACGCCGAAAAGGCAGATGTCCTGTTCACAGGAAGACAGGACCGGAACTCTAAATTTCCAACTGCGCCCAAACGGGTTCCAGAAGCCTAAAACCCTACGCCCTAAGCCAAAACTTCAACCGACCCGACACCCTAAATTTAACACCCCAAACCCTAAGCGAGTCAACAGGCAGGGGATCGATCACCTTCGACCCCAGGTTTGGGTTTAGTGAGTGTTTTAGGGTTTAGGGTACGGGTTTAGGGTTTTAAGGTTTAGGGTTTAGGGTTTTAGGGTTTAGGGTTTAGGGTTTTAGGGTTTAGGGTTTAGGGTTTTAGGGTTTTAGGGTTTAGGGTTTAGGGTTTGGATAGTGTATGCGATGCACGGAATCCTGCATGGCACAGCAGGATTCAAAGAGGATCGATTGCTACGCTGCAAGGGGGCTGTTTTGACTTACTATCCACATCCAGGCCTACGTCGGGTTCCCTGCGTTTTCAAAATGCCCCAGCTAGCATAAAACAGCAAGGACAATTCCTGCGTTGGCATCTACGTCCTTTATAGAGTAGCTACATTGCGCTATCTCGAGCCCGAAGAAATGCCTTCATTGGCTGCCTTCATGCAGAAACATAAATTATAGGTGCCTAATTAAGTAGAATACTGCAACTTTATGAAATGGTTAATTAAGTAGACTGGAAGCAGGACTCAAACTCAATCTTAATTGAAGATCTGAAATCTAGTGTTATTCTATATATGAAGGAGCCTAAAGAATATCTAAACCCTGAATCCCCAAAGAATGCAAGTGTGCAAAGCCCTCGTGCCACGCCTCTCCTCTCGAAGAATCCAGCTGCCAGACCTGACAGGGAAAATTCGAGATCGAAAGGCAGGGCAACGCAAAACGATTCAGAATGTAGTATAAATATACCAAGGAACCCTAATAATGAGTAATAGTACTCAAGGCTACTATAGACGATATACTAAGGAACTCTAGAGAAGGTTGTTGCTAATCACTCCTGCCCTTACCTTGCCTTACCCACACTTGGCCTAGATAGGTTCCCGTTGCGGAACTTCTGGCAAAATGCGATATACACATACACTTATATATATATATATATACATATATATATACATACATACATATATATGAACTATGTATATATATATATAGAGTTCGTATAGGGGCATAGAGTCTGGAGGATGCTGTGCGTATCTTGTCGAACACTGCAACCTGCATAAGCCATGCTTTTCTGCTTTCCAGTTTAAGGCTT